GTGCTTTAGTTATTTTCTAAACAGTGAGGGTTGTTTCTCGAACGGTGTGTAGAACTTTGACTGACATTGCTAATTTATGTATTTTTTAGAGAGTTTTCTAAAAACAGTCTCATTACTTTTCATTTAAATCTCACATCTAAATATGTATGCTAGTAATATACATATCGTGAATTCATCTTTCTGTGTCGGACTTTTGCTATTTTTTTACAAAGCATGATGTATTGCGTTTGCTGTACAGCTAAACTGTATAGCGCTAAACTACTTTAAAGCGCAGAAAATATCCGAATTCCCCCACCTTGTTTTCGTTTCCCTTTTATCCTCAAAGTTCGACGTCGAGTATACTTGTCCTGAGGTTTCCGGACGCGCAGTGGTCCGGCTTTGACCGGACTCCATTTGCACCCTCCACGAATTTAACTCCGCCCTAAAAAGCATAAATATCATCATGATCAATACCTTTTCCCTTCAGACCTACACGATTAATACTTAAGAATTTTTTTGCAATGTGATAACGATAAACATATTATTCTATTCAAAATATAAAAATAACTCATGAACGAAATACGACGCGGCAGAGGGAGAATATATTTTTTTAAATCCATTTGCATCGGATAAAATATTAATATTTAAGAAGCTTAATTAATAGACCATCAAGGGAAACTCTTGCCATTAATTGAATAAATAGTTATTGAAAAAATGTGCTAAAATGTTTATCTTTGTGGCACATATCAATTAATATTCAGTTGTTTTGACTAATTAATTTGATGAATAGCATTCTATTCGAAATAAAGGAACTGTTAATGAATTAAAGATAATTTTCACCCAATTCTTCTTCGATTCTCTTTGCTTTGCTGCATATGATATAAATATGCAAAAAATATACGAACATTTTATAAACATATGCCAACTAAAAATCAGTTTAAGGTTTAAATATTTATAAATAAATTGCTCATTTTGTTAAATGTTTGTGTTAGAGAGAAACTTTATCGAGATCATTATTCATTTTAAAATGTTTATTTGGATAGCATTAATTTCTTTTATGATGAAGGATAATTCATGCAGAAATCAATCCAAAGTCTGCACGTATATTAGGTATGGCTGAGAATTTCTAGGAAGTTGTTTCGTATCGAATACATTAATGCACGTCGTGTGTTAGAGGCGATCCCCATCTTTTGCGTTATTGATAAATATTTAAAAACTCGAAATAATGCTTATAAATATTTCTGATTTCACTGACATTGAATTTCACGAGTTTTAGATTACTAGTGAAATTTGATTTCTTTAAGTAAGCTTTCAAAACAACTTCCAGGCTCGACGATCACAATGATCATTTACCCTTAAAACATTACACCATAAACCTTAATAAAAGCATTTACTCGGTCTTTATTTCTGAAACCGTAGGTTGTAAACACATATTGCAAATTACAACAATGTTTTCAATGACGCAAATATTCATGTTTTGCAATTTTAAAATTTAAACACATACATTACGAATTCTAGCATTTTATACATTCCTCCGTTTATTTCTTTATATTTCTACACTCGCTATAAAAAATTTTGTATTTTGCTGCAAACGTTTGTACTCGCTATAAAATATAGAACACGTAAAGTTCTAATCTAGTAAGACAAAAAAATTGACCGAGATAGTTAATTTCAAAATTTGTGATATCTGAAGTTATTTTCAATTTGCATTGAAGAGGTAGATAAGAATATTTCAAGGCTGATTTGTTCAATTTAAATTCTATTCAATGGCACTTATTTTTTCGTGATTTGCTATCATTTTTAATTTATAATTTTGTTGCTTTTGGTAGGCCGAATAAATTTTTACTCAAGTAATTCATAAGTTACCAAAGTCTAAGAACATTTTTTAATATTCTCTGGAAGTTTTATAATAATGTGCATAGAAATGTTCATCACGTGATAATATCGTAGCACAAAACATTTTTCTAAACTGATATTTTATTTTTAGTCACGTACGAGTGCAAACATTTCGCTCTTCAGTCTGTGTATGACCCCTAAATACCAACCGATACCAAATATCTCAGTCACCTTTTACCCTACGGGAGTGAAATCTTTTGCTTTTAAATTTTTATAACGAGTACAAAATTTTCTTAAATTTAAGTATAGGGAACGTATAAAAAATTTAGCTTTCGTATTTTACGCAAAATTATTCTTTTTAAAGGTAAAAATGCTATACAAATATGAAACGTTTTGTAATTTAAAATATTTTTATAGTTGGAAGTGTTAGTCTACCGTAAAAAGTCGTGTTAAAGACGTTTTGAGGAAAGCTGCACAGTCGTTAAATTCTTATGTTTTCAGTACTGATTTCTGACAAGCGTGGCATGATTTTTAATTTTCCGACTTACCTCTTCTACAGAGACTAGTTGTTCCATACTATTTGTGAATATCATCATTATGGGAAATTACCCAAAATTACTCATCTCCGCAGCAACAAACTGTTGTGAGATGCCTAGCTGCTGTAAGATAGCTTCCCCGCAAAGCAAGCTTAGGGTTGCCAGATTTGGGGTAAAATAGTCCACTTGGTGACAATGGGCGTTGGCAATATGCCATACACGAAGCAAGAACATTCTAGAACGCATTCTTAGCGGTTTTTCTCAGGAATGTTTGTGAAGGTATGTTAAAACCTATATATACCCTACCTGTACCCAGAGAGAGGAGTATCTTGAATTCAATAGTATAGTAGTAGTGCCTTGAGTTCACAGCTAGTTTGAGAGCGATCAACCGAGTCGGGAGCTGTACTTTAATGCTTTGCTATGAACCTGTCTTCACCGTTATAGCCATGAAGCTGTGTTGCGGATTGTTTCAGCGTGTTTATCGTAGTTTTTCGACAAATGTAAATGTTTTTGGAACTGTTCTGCGTAATACTGGCGAATAAATTGTGCTTTGATTCTTTATCAAGTGTTATCGTCAATTACTCCAAATCCACAAACATGTAGAACGCAAGAATACGCAAAAGTAATTGAAGATTACCAATATAGGAGGTGAAGGTTGCTTCCAGTGTATTTGAAATATGAATTCAACATGATATCCTGTAAGTTTTCAGAAATTCTTTGCAATTTATCTACATTTAGTTTTGTAAAGAAAACTTTTTAATTAGTTTTAAAATTTAAATTTTACGATGTGGTTTTGTACGAATCATATCATACGTTACATATTTCAATCAAGTAAATTAAAAAATAACACAAAAGAAAGATAGAAAATATTTCTTTAAGTTAAAAACAACCAAACATCTGCGATTTTTAGACATCCTGTTATCATAGATCTTAATTTGAAAAATAAAATTATATCAAAATAATAAGGCTGTTGAAAACTTATTTTTATTTCATAAACATGCGTATATAGCACACGAATATTCTTGCTGAATTAAAATATTCTGAATTATAAACAGTTGAGAATTTTCCAAGATTTGGTGAAGTACACAATTTTGAATATTAAAGGACAGGTGTACAGAAGAGCATTATTCTTTAAAGTATTATTTCTTAAAATACCTTTCCGCATTACATAAAAATAATAATCTATGGAAATGTAAATACCTTGCAGGTAAAGTGAGAGCTTGAATGATTTTTTAAATTCTAGCAAATATATTTCTGTCTTGTGAAATGATAGCACTTCCCAAATAATGTGTTCCTGGAAGCAACACGAATGTAAAAGCTTTTATAAGTATTGCAGATTGAAATGAACTAAGAAACGCGGATTACTCTGGCTTTAAAAATATGTATTATAATTGCTTCTTAAATCTGTAAGGTGTTTTTATAGAGGATGATAAAAACTGATTTAAAAACGTGAAATTTAAGAACTTTGATTTGCAGTAAAATTTAAAACATGCTTTGCGACTAGAAATTGTAGTAAAATAATCTACTTGAAGAGCAGAAGTATAAAGCGTTACTACAAGGACATATCATTAAGGTCCAAATGTAATCCTTTCACGTTTCGTTTAGACACAAAATAAAATATTGACACCTATGTATAAGAAGATTCCATTGAAAACGTAGTGAAAGGTAATGCATGCTGAGCAGATTTTCTCAAAAGAATAAAAGAAGCTTTTCATCTAATACGAATCAAATATGTGCAAAATATTTTCCAGTGAAAACGGTTATTAATACATATGTTATGCGCTAAACGTATATTGGAATTTTATTCAATAAAAATGTGGAATAATATTTAAACTAATAGCAACTTCCAGTCAGAAATGCAGCACATTTATAATAAATTTAATTTTTCTTTCTTTTGTTGGTTTCATAAAATTTAATAAATACATTTTCTTTCCTTGAAATACTTGTCAGAAGATTAGGAAGCGTACAGATATTTGACATGGAATAGAAAAGAATTTAAAAAATAAAATTAATAAAAAGTGTCAGATCTGCAAGATCTCGCAAAGAGCAATCTTGAGGGGCTTAGAGTTCCAAGAGACCCTCAGATCATTAACTTTCTTGAATAGTAAACACATTTTGTTTCTTAAAATGGAAGGACCGTAAAAATTCAACATAAATGGTCTTTATAAATCCGTCACTGATTAAAAGACAAAAGAAATAAAATGATTAGAAATATCTTTGGAGGCTATTGTGCACGTCTAAAAATATTTTTAAATCTTGCAGACTTTAACCCCCCCGCGGCGGATACCTCTAGCCGTTATAGGTGTTGGCCACTACAAAGCCCGGAAGCGGTGGTCACTTTATTATCAAGGCACCTAAAAGGTGGGCCACCATTGCCTCGTATAAAGGTACAGTTTATATCCATGTCCTTCTCCGGGATTCGATTTCGTGCCCTTCGTTACGGCAGTCAGAGTCACTACCCATTTTCCCTTCTAGCGGTATTTTACTAACCTATTAGAAAGCATTAAATAATGAGTTTTCTACGCACGGATAAAATGCTATGTGAAATTAAAAGGACTGCTGCTGGGTACTCAAGATTAGTGAAATTTTGTGGAAAGATAATTGGATTTGGGGTAAAGGAAACAGAAACACAATGAAAAGTATCCTCACCTTTTTTCCTTCTTTATAAAAACGATCTTCTCCTATGGTTGCGATTTTAGCTTTACTTGTTGCATTTGTGCAAAATGGAACAGTTTTGGCGGTCGTCAGGTCGGCCCTGTCGTTGTCCGGACAACCGTTCTCCACTATGCTAAAGAAAAGAACCTATCTTAAAAAATAGATACGTATACAGAAATTCGAATATTTATGAATAATCATAAAAGTAGTAAGCTAAGGTTAAATTTCTGCAAAAATTGTGAAATTTTGAATGAAGGAAACGTTTTAATGCATAGTTATAATTCACAGGAAACAGACGAGAAATGTAGATAGTAAGGGAAAGAGATGGCAATTTTACTGCAATTTAAAAAATATTTCTTTTTTGATTATATTTTTAGATACGGCATAAATTTCGGAAATTTCGACTAACGAACTGACAATGATAGCTGGATCTTTATATTAATTTAAATATCACCATTCCTGTTTTTAACTAGCAATGGTTTTAATAAGATGATGCTGTCTCCATTTAGAACTAAAATATATTATACCTTCAAAGAAGTAGCTGACAGAAGTGTTCTTTCCAGCAGTCTTTCCAAGATTTAATATTAATTAGTTTCTCAACAAACTTTACTTCAATCAAATTTGTCTTCGAATGGCAGTTTGAATAGTTATTCAAAGCGATTTGATTAAAGGCGACTTGTTCAACTTTCCTTTATTTTGTATTCACCCTTTTTAATTAAATTCGTTCTTGTAGAAATATACTAATTAATACTCGCAAAAAGCTAACCATATGCAGTAGGAGTAGGTAAGATACATAAAATACTAACCATGCCGTGCGAAGAACCAAATGTTAATGTAAGCGATAGCTTTTAAGAGGACTGCGGCCAATTTTTCAACGTGAAATTTAATTTCACGTCTTAGTCTTCCCTTTAAATTTACTCCTGAGGGAGCTAGAAGAGTTTATTTGTTCACGGTTGGTATGAAAATGCATAACAAGGAGGGAGGATTTGTTTTGTCAGAGTAATATTTAACTCAAAGTTTCACCGGCATTCAACATTGTTCCATTCGGGCAATAAAACAAAACGATCACAAACAGAATGCATCGAAAACTATTTATGCATGAAACGTGCTGCAATCACAAAGGTTGTAAGATTTTTATATATTTTCATCAGTTACCTAATTATTTTTGCCTTACTGTTACTTGTGCGTTCTTCAATTCGACCAGAGTGGTTTGGTTTACTTGACTATAGCAAAGCATTTACTTAAGAGAAGATTTGCGTTCGTGGAGGTTTTTCTATGAGAAAATGAGTCGTATCTGTGTCACATATGGGAACATCTACGAAAATGCTCATGCAGCCAGACCGTTAGTCTATATTCGAAGCGAAATCTATCTTCCACTGGATGCAATTTAAGGACCGAGAGTATTTGACGGCGTTCGCTGATAGTGTGTGTGGCTGTTATTTCTCTCAGCTTCTAAATTACATAGATCAGCAGCCTTGTTAATCGTAATTGCACGCGTAAGTTGAAGGCGCCCAAGTGAAAGTTGATGGCCAATTTTTGTAGGCGACTTTTATCACGATTTGTTTGTAGGCGACTTTTATCACGATTTGTTTGTAGGAGACTTTTATCACGATTTGTTTGTAGGCGACTTTTATTACATTTTAATTTTCTAAATTTTACTTGAACTATTTCTGGAATTCCAACAAGCTGTAGAGATTCTTTCTTTTATCACACAGGTTATGTGACTGTTAGGTTGACGAACTAATAAAAATGTTTATCTTAAATCTTCAACTGTGCTGCAGTTACTTAACTTAGAGTACAAAGACGGGATGATAAGAAACCTAAGTGTCATCACGGAGACATAGATTAATAGTTAAAGTAGTTAGGATCTATTAAAGGCAAATGATTATCCAGTGCATTCTCCAACATAAAATACTCAATTCTTACCGTGTTACAGTGAAGCGCGCGCTAGGAGTAAACTTAGAGTTATGTATTTACATCTTGCAATTAAACAGTCCACTCTTCGCGATGCATATTCATATGAACCGCGTTCCGTTATATCAATTTGATCAAAGTTTTAAAAAATTGAACTCTTTACAAACCACCTACAACTACCTGAAGCAAATGTGGACTAAGCGGCTGAGCTCAGATTTATGTATAAATGTCTAAACCTGCAAATAAGAAATATTCTAAGATGTAATTATTTTTTGATACAAAATTGGGGTGTCTTTGAATTTATTAGATCTATTAGATTGGTTAGGCGCATTGCCAGTAAGTATTTTACTTTTTGCTATTCGTGCGGTTAAACAATGTTAAGTTTTAAAAAGGTGAGAATTTTCTGGTTTCAGGTATTGCTTAAATGCAACAAAAATGTTTTTAATCAACTATTACCAAATTTAAAGAGTTAAGTAGCTAAGGATTGAGATTTAGATCGTATAATTTTACAGAATGTCTTATAAATAATCAAATGCTATAAAAGTAAACTGACACTCGTAAATTTGAGAATAATAAAAATATCATTTAGATTTTTGCCTATTTTTCATGTAAAGGTTTATAAAACTGTGTGAAACAAAACAATTTTAGTGATTATTTCTAGAAGAAAAGAATGAAAATTAAAAGCTCCAGTAAATACAAATGACTGGTTTCACCAAGTTTCAATATTTGAAGTAAATATAAAAATTCTCTACTCCTAAATTTTTGTATCACTTTTATACCAATATTTAATTTGCTATATTTTAAATGTTTCGAGTCATCTGTTATCTGAGAGTTGCGCTCTACCAAACTTTGGCCCGATTGTGCTATTTATTATCTACATACATTTACTTAACAATCCTACTATCTCAAATATATGATTGCTGGTGTTATTTTATCGAACACTTTTTTTAATGATTGCCCTTTTTTGATTTAGTTATAATAGCAAAATGCGTAGGCTGCTGTGAGCATCTAATTTTTGCAAAGTCACAAGAAAGAAAGTACTGTCGGGTCAACAAGTTTCTACATAGATATCTGAACAGGAAAGTTCTAAAAGTAATAAGCCATTCTTCCGTTTATAAGTAATTTATGGAAAGAACACTTTCAAAATATACAAGCAGGAATGAATGTTTTAAATAGTGTTCAGGACTTATACCTTCAACCTGACGCTACCTGCTTCCTTCTCTGCCGTTAAAAATTACAGTATATCTAAATAAATAAATGTACGTGTATTTTCTACTTTTTGAAAAGGGGGGTGATCCAGGAAGGGTGAAAGGAACGCATGGGAGAAGAGGTTGAGAAGCACCGCGTTACAGGCATATTTGAGGTTAAAGCCGTCAGAATGCCAGGTGCCTGGAAGTCATATTTACAAAGCGAAGGTTTTGAAAACATGATGGTTAATAAATTGAAAACAAATATAATTATACTTTTTACCCGTGCTGTGCAATTAATCAGAATGAATGAAATCAATGAAAGGGCCATGCTAAGACATAAAACTAATTTATTCTAAATTTAAATCAAATAAATTACACGAAACTCACCTTTCGGAAGCTGGCTTAAATCCACTGCCATCTGCAAATGCAAATAAAATAATTGAAATTGCACAAAAATAAATTCTCTCGAACACTACCATTTTCAAATTAAACGAAGCAGAACAAATAATTATTGCTTCCAATACATGCATATCGACACGACAACGGATGCTATTTTTCATAGTAAACTTTCTCTTTGGTATTAGTCATTACGCAAGCTTAAAATAATGAAGTTAATTAAATACTAATTTTACATTCTATATCAAGACAGAGAAAAACAAAATACAAAAGAAAATTCATATCTTTCATCGATAGCAATTACTTACGGTTGAAGCAACATTTTTCTTTCTTGAACAAACAAACGAGTAGGGCGATGAGACATATCAATACTAGAACAATTACAATGGCGCCGGCGATCATCATCGTCAAAACAAAAGGCTCTAGGAAGAAAAAAGAAAAACCTTTGAGATCTGTCGCTAACATTTCCTTCCTGTTGCTTATAACTAAAATGATCTTCAATAGGATATCTGTCATTCTCCGTGATATTTTCAGATATAAGAGGAAATCGTATTGAGAGCTTTTAATTACAATTCTGTTGCATTCACTCATTTCACATTTATAAGTTTTAGTTAATACTAGCTCCTGAAGAGAATGTTGCTGAAACTGAAGATTTAAAAATATAAATAAGTAGCTGATACGACTTAATAGGAATTTAATCAAGAAAAAGTTTCAAATTTGTGCAATTTATAAATATATTAATGAGTAATCGACAGAGAAAGGATGAATAATAACGAATTATAAAGTTTTAGCCTTTGTCTGGCACTCAATTTAAATAAAAGGCTGATAAGGCTGATTGAGCTTCATAAACCAAATGAGCAAGGTAATTTTTTGAAAATACATTTTTTTATGTACACTGCGCAAAAATAGGGGGGGGACAGTCCTATATCTCTCGTTCTACTGAGCCGATTCACGAAATTCAAATTTTTTTTTTTTTCATGTCTCGTAAGCGCGACTTAGGATATTACATTTATATATAGCATTGTTCTAATGTAGATATTCTGACACAAAATCGGACTTTTTCTGAAATGACATGCCGATTTGTTTTTTATATTTTGACTCTACAACTCAAATTATGCGAAACTGCCAAGTTTTGTGAAAATCGCACGATTATAGTTTTTAAAAATTAGCTCTCAAAATTTTAGCTCCTCAACGTTAATTGAATTTGATATATATTTATTAATATCTCTTTTTTCATTAAACTCATATACGTGATTTTACATTTTGGCCCGTTTTGAAATTTCGCATATTTATTATAAGGGATAATAACGAAAATGTGGTTTACGCTTTTTGTTAAAAATTATTTGAAAGTAGGAACGATGACATTTTTCCTGCTCGTGGACGATGAAGGAAAAGGAAAGGAAAATAGGTTGCTGTAAATTAAGAAGTTCGGCAAGTGAAGTACTCTTGGCGGAAACTGAAAAAAAAAAAAAATCGCAAAGATACGTTTTTAAATTTCTCCATAAATTTTTCACCAAGAATTACAAAATTTTATATTTAGGCAGAATTTGAGTCATCGAATCGAAATATAGGAAAAAATGGGTATGTTATTTCAAAAAAGTCCAATTTTGTGTCAAAATACCTATGTTAGAAAAAAGCTATATATAAATCTATTATATATCCTAAGTCGCGCTTTCGAGACATTAAAAACGAAATTTTAATTTCTAGAATCGGCCGAGTAGAACGGGAGATATAGAACTGCCCCTTCTGTTTTTTCGGAAGTGTACATTGTTATCCATTTGCGTCAGTTATTAGTTTTGATTTTAGGCGGCGAAGGTCAATCAAGTGTACGTGAAATAATGAAAATTGCTTTGCATATTGAGCGTAAAAGTCTAACAAAATGTATTATTTTATAAATTCTGCGTCATTAATACTGAAATACGTTATGTATCCAGAATACGGATATATTGCATGTGCATAAAGCAACGGAAACTACTTTATTGCATTGAAATTGATCACTGAGATATATTTGCGTTGCTTGTCAACAGTTATTTCTCGGGAAGCATTCTCGGATTTTGTTTCCCACAAATTAGAACTCAGCTCTTAAATGCTCAGCATAGTTTACCGATCGTTTTGAAGAATGTTGAGAAATTTTTATGGCTAAAGATGCTAGGTCAGTCTTTTGTTAATTAACATGAAGTATTAGAGAAAATTTTTTTTATTAATTAATATATGTCTTTTGTTAGACATACATACATACATAAATAAATGCATACATACATGAATACATATATGCTATTAATACATACACACATACGCATATACACATATATGTAGTTTATACATATATATTTTAAAGGAAAAATTGTAAAATATGTTGAAATGGTTTATCACCTAATACTGGATACAGAAAAGCAAGGATTTTGTTTTGGAAGGGAAACTGTAATTAAGTTCCACATACCCTTCTGACGATGTCATGCCGAAGCTGAATGGATTCCTCTTCTTTCTTGTTCTTTTATAATCTTTTCTGATTTTTCTTATGATGGTTTATTTTTAAAATATTCTTAATCTACATTTGTAGGATTTTATGAAGTTCATTTGAATTTCAATTTTTAGTCTCTGTGAAAAATTGGCTCTAAATTTCTTTATTTCTTTCTCTCTCTCTATATATATAATTGCAATATATATATGTAACAAATTCAAGAGCAGGAAGCAATGACCAGGAAATTGGAGGCGAATGCAGATTAAATCTTCAATTTTATTTTCAGAAACATGTAGCGATAACACTAAGGTGACCAGACGTCCCGATTTTTAACAATTTGTCCCGCGTCCCTCAACGTCCCGCGCGTTTAAGTCCCAATCTTTGGAAAGAATGCACGATAAGCTAGGAAATGACGGGAGAATACGGTTTTCAGCGCCCATGTGGATACTTCGCCAAGATATGTGTGTCTTATATTCTTTTTGTTAATTTTATAATGTTAAATTTTAATAATAACAGATAATTGTTGACAACTGATTATCGAGAACTGCTTAGCAAAGTTCGCATTGTTGATCAGTTGTTAGAATTCAACCACCGTTTCTTACACTGGCATTTTTTGTCACTGGCATCGACGAAAACATTTTGTAACTGTCTCTCAGACGATACACATCGTACCGCGTGCTAGTGCTAGTTAAACAAGGGATGTCAACAAATCAGGTATCCAGATAATTTAGGTACGTAATTTATTTATTTATCGCACAAACACATAAGTTTTCTTGAATGTAGCGGACAGTACTCTTATTATTTATATTTTATAATGGCGGCAAAAGGTCTAGCGTCGGTCTTGAAAGTGATGCTTACGACTTACGTTACGGCAAATTCAGAGGAAAAATAATACAAGTTAATACTGTTATTATTTAGAAAGAATTATAGGATTAAAATTTAAATAATTTTAAAATGTATTACTTATAAAAAAAATTAATTAATTTTTAAACTAACATAAAATGTTTATGTAATTATGCACCTACTTACCGTTTTTAACCCTTGCGGCACAGCGGTCCGGTCTGGACACACCTAAAACTTCCTTCTCGCACAGAAAATTTGAATGAAAAAGGATTTACAGTTGCTTACTATAGGTTACTCTGAACCTTCTTATTATAAGGATGGCAGCTTAACACACCAGTCCATATATTTTAGCATGTTTAGTTTTAGGACCCTCATTTGCAAAGAAAATTCCAGATTTTTTAGGGTAAAAGGAATTGTTTGAAAAGAATTTCTCTGTTATATTTTTTGGCTGTATGTAATCTTCTATTCTATAGTATTTTTAAATTTTTACCTTCAAATCTTGGCCTAAAATCAAACGGTGAATGGCAGCAAAATTAATAATCAAGTTGGATTAGCTTATGTCGTTTTCCATCATGGTTCTGAAATGGAATACAAACTCTTTAGAATTCCCAATGAATGCAGTGTTTCCAAGCCGAATTACTGTGCATTAGTGAGTCAATTAAGTGGATATCTAACAACTGTTTCGCTAGTGCTAATTTCTTATTCGTACTGATTCTCTTCATCTTATATTTTAGAATATCTTCTCATATAATAAATTATTGTCACTCCCATGCTCTTCTTAAACTTAATAATTGAAGATGTGATGTTATCTTTCTCATGTACGTGGTCACACTGGCATTTAGGAAATAAAACTGCTGATGGTTGGCAAAAAGCTACATCTTCAAGTAATTACTCCAATGATCTTAAGTCATTTTACAAGAAGAAATAGGATGATACAATACGAGAGGATGAACTATACAGGAATTCTACTACTGCCTCTTGACTAAATTATATTTTCCTCCATCCTCACAGATTTAATAATAAACCACTTTTCTGCAATTTTAAGTTACTCATTTCTAAAGGAGGAATTCAATCTATCTTAGAATTTAGATTATCTAGTACAGACTTTGTTATGCAGTTCGGAGGCAAATGTCGAAATTTGTTGTTCTATTGGTTAAGTCAAGAAGGACGAAAGACTCATTTCTAATTACCTTTAATATCATTTCCTCCCCCTCTTCTGTACTTGTACAAATAAAATGCTTTGTCTTTCTTCTGTAAATTTATTCTACGTCTAATCAGTGAATTTGAGTTTATTTTATTTTGGTTTGTGTTGTATTTTTTGTTTTTTACTCATCTGTAAGCTTGTAATCTATGGTGCAAAGGATTTAAAATTTTCAAATTTAAAAAAAAAAAAAAAAAAAAAAAAAAAAAAAAAAAAAAAAACTAGCTGCCCACCGGGCTCACCGATAACTGGACAACTGAGAGTCTGTAATCTTTGTTTCTCCATCTCATCGGTCAGTTACTTGACCAATGCTCGTTTCGCACTCTTTTCGAAGCTCATTCAATCAGTTCCACTTTGGCACACCCACAATTAAAAGTAATGCTATCTTCACAAAATTTACTTTGTACTCTTCTAGGCCTATTAGACGCCTAACTTTTTTTAACTCCGACTTTTAAAAGGTAGCTGCTGGATAAGGTTAAGCAAATATATTGATAAATTGTAATATAATTTTAAATTTATAATAATTATTCTTTAGATTTTCAGAATGATAAGAACATAACAATTCAAAGATGATCTAAGAGTGAAAAAAAAAAAAAAAAAGCGATTACATGGTAAAATGTGAGAATGTAAGGGTGAGTTTCTATTTCGCCCGGCTGGAAGAATGATATTTCAAAGCACTCGGGACACAGAACAAAAAATATTTAAATACTCCTGCATCTTCCTCCAAATGATTCTTTCGGGAAACAATTTATGGAACTAAGAAAGAAACTTAGCATTAGCAGAAGGACTTATGTCTTTTCATACTAATATCACATCCAACCTCAGATCTTTTACATCACAATTGTCCAAAAGTTCACAAAAAACGAAGCAATCTACTAAAATTCACTCAAATGAGAAATATGCCAAAGAATAAAATAATACTATACGTAATTTTTAAATGTATTATATTTGTAAATTGTACTTAGCTTGAAATTAAAAAATATATCTTACAATACTATTTTTACGTTTCTATTTTTGCGTTTTGCGATTTTAAAGAAAATTTGTGTTGCTCCATATAGACCAAACTTTTAATCAAGAATCTCTCCCCCCCCCGGTCAATTGTGTCCCGCTTTACCAATGTTAAAATCTGGTCACCTTAGGCTACACACAAGTCGGCACACTAAATGTGCCTGGTCTAAAAGTCTTACATTTTTGATTACTTTGTAACTAGAAAGCAGCAGTCTAGCTAAGGCAAAGCGTAGAAAGCAAGTGCCTAATGATCAGGATGAAATCTCAAGTCAGACTGAGTTAGTTTGGTTTCCAAAGCTTTTTGATTATTCAGTCAATATTGCTGTAAAATTATTATTGGCTGCTTGAATTTTAGTTACTCGCCAGAGTACGTAAGAGTATAAACATAGATTTTTCTCGAATATGCAGTGCAATAGATGTGCTATTTTAGATAAGAAGGAAATTATTATTGCTAATTTGTATTTGAATATCTTTTTCTGAAAGATATATATACATATATATTAATAAAAAGTTAATAAAATAATATATCACGCGAGTATTTTGCGTATTAAGCGGGGGTGAAAAATACCAAGACATAATTAAGAAATTTAGAGCCAATTTTACCAAAGAGAAAATTGAATTATATAATAAAGATCAATAAATCCTATAATGTACAGAAGAATTTATAAATTAAACTAAAATATTCAAACTAGTAAACCCCAGTTAAAAAAAAATAGTAACAAAAAAGAATGTGAAAGAAGATGACTTCAGCCAATTCAAGCTCTTCTCCGAGGGGAATATGAATCAATTAAATTATCTTCATAAACACCTTGCGCGTCCTCTCTCTCTATATATATGCATAAACTATTTATATATTGCTAACTAATTATATATATGCATAAATCTGTCTATCTAACTATAGATAACTCTCTTATATATAACGAGGGTGGGCAGAGAATGGCAACTTTTTTCTTGTAGATATGTGAACGCACAAACGTATATTGTGTTGGAAGTCTGCAGAAAAGTATGATGAGAAAACAATGCTTGTGATAGTGGCTTGTGTAGCGAGGCTCTGGAAATCATCAGTTGTGATGCCGTACGAGATGGAGGGACCACTTGGCAGCGCCGCGTCATCAAAAAAACCTTCTCAGATAGAAATGCTATGAATGTCAGAGTGAATAGTAGAAGCTGTGGAATAAGTCTACCATATCGTACAGTAGCACGGTGGGTAGAAAAGTTTCAGCAAGGACGTGTGTCAACCAGTGGTGAGCAACGTGGCGACGATGATTTAAGGCCAAGAAGAACAATAGCACAAAAAAAGAGACCATAAGGGAGGTTCAAAGCAAAGTAACCAACCTCTTTTGTACTGCACAGAAATAAAAGTTTTATTGTATGTATGAAATTTCATGATTTTTTCATAAACCCGTTTTTTACAAGCACTTGGTTATATATCGCGATCCCTTCACGCTCGTTATAAGCGAAATTTGACTGTATTTTTTCAGTGAAATATTATTCTTGGTAACACAGACTAAGTGTAACTTAATATCGCTAGATTTCTGTACTCACCTCTGACTTCCAAAGTCACTTCAAACGATTCTACACCCTTTTCATTTTCGATCACAAGTGCGTACGTTCTGGAATCGCCACCTTCTACATCTAGGACAGTTAGTCGAGCTTCGTAACAATCTTCTTTTGTCTGGATCTGTGGATGATAATTTTCAGTACTTTTGATTTAAAACTGAATAAATTATTACGAATTTAAAATTTACATTCATATTACATGTAAGGAGTCTAGTTTGATAATAAGAAATAACACAAATTTATTAGTAGTATTAAACAATACAAAAATAATAGTAGATATAATGTTATTTATTCTGTTGTATTTGTTGTTCAAATGAATCATCAGAATTTTACGTGACTAAAAAAATTTCTTCACTTCATTGTAAATCGCGAAAATGATTAACAAACATGCGTAAAACAGTTGGTAACCAACTCGCTTTGTGTGCAGGAGTATCTTAAGGTATGGCAGTGTATATTCTTGACTCATAATGCGTAATTCACTAAAGTATATATATATATATATATATATGCATGATATTGTTTATATTTTGTATATGTAATTTTTGTTAAACGTTTGTGCAGGAAATTTCCACACGTCTTCTTTTTCATTACGTAATTTGCAACAGTATAAACAGTTTTTTGATTTGATAAGTTTGTAAAGTTGCGCGCTTCCAACCTGCACGCAACAAAGTGGTGACTGCTGAAAACTGGAAATTAGACAGAGTCTTGAGAAGGGTTTAAGTCCCTTTTATTTCAACTTTGGAAGTACAAATGCGTGCTCTGACGCTCACAATACGCCGACCCGCGGTAAAATAAAAATAAGAAAAAAAGAGATAATAAAAGCGACTAACTACGAGGCTCTCTAACGTAACTAACCTCACCGCGTTGTAAATACCGCTGATAATTCAGCGAACTTCTGAATATTACGTTGAAAGATTAACAATTTGCCGAGCAAGCACACAGGCCGAAACGCGGTTCTTCAATTTAAACTACCTCCGCGCTCGTGAGTAAGAAAAGCCACTTTAACTCGTATCCTTTCTATTTAACTCAGAATACTTCCGCTGATAATTTGAATCCTTGCGCGTTCTACTAAAATACTTGGCATTGGCATTCAGGGAAATAGGTTGACAGGAAAGATATAAACTTAAAATAAATATAAACCCTACAAGTTGTTGATAAACCTGGAGCTGCTCTAGCAAGTTTTATCGTATCTGAAGTAGGATTTGATAATCCTCTTTACACTCGGTTGGCTTCAAACAGTTCCGTTCAGGAATAATTTGAAAAATTTTCTGACTATCTGAAATCTAAAAATATAAATTCCTATTTCTGCTGTCCCTTCATGCATAAAAATACACTTGTGGATGTAGTAAAGAATTCAGTAGATTAAATTTCGAGAATTCTGAAAAATTTTACCATGGAAAAAGAAATAATATTTGGATATATTAGTAGAATTTCGACAATAGTTCTTCCGCTAATGCGTCTCAAGCCAAAAGTTCGCCTATTGTCTAACTAGATCTAAATGATACGTACAAAAAACCATATAAATTTTTGTATTTTCTTGCTTTCTTGGACATTTCTTTTTTACGTCGACGATAATTCTGTATGGAAATGATTGCAATAGTTTTCCTATAAACTGCCATAATTAAAAACCAAAATCTATATTTCTGCTTTTAATACTTATCGCGTATTTAAGAAAAGCTAGCGAAATTTACGAAGATTACTTTCCAGACGTTTTTCAAAATTCTATCTACAGAAAGAAGAAATGATTGATTGCACTTACTGGCTGAATTTCGTCAGCAGTATGTCTGCCTGTCTGAGAATTAGTGTCAAGCCTAAAATTGTCCCACTGCCAGTAGGTTTTCCTCGGGCGAGGATCAGCACAAAAGAAAACAATTATCACAGCGTTCTCGTCTTTATCCACCACCATGTGAGATGAAACAGAAAATGATTCAGATAGAATTTGGGGAGGACCTGAAAAGAAATGAAAATAAAACTACACTTTTAAATTTATACTGAGTGTACCGGCATTTGAGTTCATATACAGAACAGTTTCTCAATAAATAGTAGTACAAATGGTCTTTTACACTTTTCATGTTAAGTTAACTTATGTTACAATATCGCCATCCACCTAGCCTAGCAAATTACAGATTTGTGAGCCATTGCCATTCCACGGTGAAAAAATACCTAAACTTTCTTTTCAAATTAAAAAGGAACTCTTATTATAACAAACGTACTTTTTCTTACATTATTATTATTTAAACAAATTTCGTACTAACACAAGTTGTTTATAATGCTATATATCTATATATCTCTCCTACAGAATTTGAATTTTACAGTAGTTTAATTAATTATTGAAAATGTACAAAGAATGCTGGGTACTTTTCCGTTTTGCGATAAAGTCATCAATAACGATACAACTGATGCCAAACGGAATATCCTCGATGGTAACCTTTTATGCCTCATTTTCAAAACACGTCGCAGGCATTTCTTATCAGATTGATTGGTTCTTTCAATACTGGCATACAATTACATAGAATTTTTGCCAGGTAGTTCAATTTTATGCCCTAAGGCCATTCGCGGTAATTAAGTCAATGATGCAATCACACCGCTTTACCCAAAGCCGAAATTATAGAAAAGTCAAAGGTTAAACTTAAATCCTATAAGAAGGCGCTAGCGAAAAAGCATTGCGGTTTACATATTCTGAGTAACTATTCGAACGAATTGAAATTTTCTTGCATTAAACTGTATTCCAAATTCAATTTAACTTGAAATTATGTAAATTATTACCGAGAGAATTAGATTTTTGTAGCGTAGTTTACGTGAGATGTAATCACCGGGGGGCACGTGATATGAACCGGCGAATCAGGATATTGAACCATGATAGCATAGTAAATCCTTAAATTAATGTCTTTTTATAAATTTATTGTCTTAAGTCACTTGCTTTTTACAAAATTTTAAACGATATTAAAATGTTTATGCCTTCAAAATAAAAAATTCTTAGAACCAACATTTTTAAATATTTTTTGTGTATACCATAAGTTGTCGCCAATAGTCTGCTTGGTGAAGATTTGCGCCGGCGAAACGGAAAAGTACCGAATGCTGTTTTACTCTTGTTTTTATCCGAAGTCTTGGAGATACGAAAATATTTTCTGATCTTCTGAATAAAATAAAATATTGAATATTTCGTCAAATTTAACATTTTAATAATGTTTTTAATCTGAATAAAAGGTTACAAACTATTCAGCACAAGTAAGTAGGAAATAGTATTATACCAACAGCTGAATAAAAATAATTACGTAATGTAAAAAATGCAAAAAGTCTTTAAATATTAATCTTATGTAGTATTAAAAAAATATATGTTTGTGCGATATGGAAGGACGTCCGTTTAAGATTTCACAAAGTCGGAACAGTTTGTCAGAGATTTAGGACTTCATTTAATCGAAATTTGTAATGAGATATATTCCGCAAGAGAACAAGAGGAAGAATGGCCTTGCTTGGTTACATAAGCTATTGATAAGTCACGTGATCTCTTAGGTCATCTACATTGATTGTTTACATTAACTATACATAAGTCACGTGATCTCTGAGGTCATCGGAATAAATCTCTTTAATCATAAATATAGGATGCATTTCATGTTCTTTCCTTGTTCGAAATAAATTAAAACACTCAACAGAACAAACTTATTATTCGTGTAAATGCATATTATGATTACCCTGGAACAGAATTCCTTCATATTATAAGTAACCTATGTATATATTTGTAAACTGCTTAGGAATATGTATATTGTACCTATAAGGTGTGACATAATTTTGGATATTTTTCGAAAATATCAACAAAATGATCAGGTTAGAATAAGCAATGTTAGACCTTGTTTTAGTTCAAGGTTTCTCCAATAAATAGTGCGGGTAGTATCAAATATGAAAACGAATGACAAAAAATAAGATATCTTAGAATTTTTAGGTTATCTGAGTTACTTTACGTTATTAAAATATTACTAAAGGGTAGAAATCGACTCTCAGTTACACATAATCCTTTAAAGGCTTTATATTTGCACATTTTCGTGAAATTCCAGACATAGTGCCATCTGGTGGTGAAAACCGAAGCTAAACTGTGATTTATGCGTAAACGTATCTTGCCTTGGGATCAAACTACACTTTAATATGCCAAAATGAAGATTTCATGTGATTTTTTTTAAATTATGTCTTGATTTCTTGTCAAAGAATATGTACACTCCTGAGTATAACCAACAGTCATGTAAGTGATTAAATAGATATGATACATAGAATGACAATGGTAATCTTGCAAAATTTTAATATCATAATTTTTATTAGAATTTTAATTCTATGGTTATGGTTAACTGAATACAGCAAAGTACACGACGTTTAATTGCCTAAGAAAGGGGATGACGTTTCTGAATTATAATTTTATATTGATAGTAAAATTTGGTTGGCAATGAACTCGTTAATGTTAATGTAAAATTGATATTATAATAAAGAACACTGAAGCTAGATAAATTAGAATAATAACATGCAGTAAAATACGTAAATTGACATTTTAGAAGGAAATTTTAGTAAGAGTTATTAATGAGAATATGAAAAATTACATTTATGAGCTTTTTCATATAATTAATTTAAAGAAATTCTATTTCAGTAATTACATCGTTTAAAACTTATTAAAATCTCAGTCATATATTTATACAAATACATAATTTAACGTATTTCACTGAAAATATATTACATTATATATTTGTCTTAATAAAGTGTAACTGTAAATTCTCATCATAAACATTTTGCGTGCTTTATCGTTAACACTTCTTAGATATATAATTAAATTCATCATTGAAACATTCAGTATAATTAATTTAAGCTAAAATTCTAATCTAATTTTATTCGCATATATGTGGATTTAAGAATTACCACTAACTTAAAGAAACTCTCAAAAGTGAGAGACATTTAAATTTCAACAATGTTCTCATAAGAAATTTTACAAAAAATATAAATATTCAAAAAATATTCAATAAATACAAGAGTTAGGTGCAAAATAAGAACCCTTTTTCGACGATTCTGTCATCTGAAGCATTATTTTCGATTGAGAGAATAAAAAATGTTTTTCGTACTTAGTTTTTTGTACTGATCGAATTATTCGTGTTTTAAAATACAGGGCAGCTACTAAGAAAGAATTTAAATTTGATGCAAGCATTGCTGCAATTTTATACCAAAACTGAAAATTTTATGCGTTTAATATAAAATGGTATTTAATGAACGAATTTTTTAGATATTCTTAAAAAATTCATCACGAGTTCATGTTCAGAATATTTAGAAGCTCAGTTTGCAGAATTTTACCGTGAAATAATAATAGAAGCTAAATTCAGCTAAATGAGAAGAAAGGTCCTAAAGGAAACGCTTGAAATTCATTTTCTAATTCCGACAAATGGCTGAAACAAGCTTATGAAACGAAAGTGATTACCTTTTATCTAAAACAAGAGCATTTTGAGTAAAATAATTATAAGGCGACAGAGAAAAATGTTTTTCAGTTTATTGATGTTTTTATGAATTTTTCATGCAATGACACTAATTTTCCAAAGTACTTCTTCACAGACTGTTAACGATTCAGCGAAGGTTCATATGAAAGTGATGACATCGAGAAATACATTATTTTTAAAATTTAAATTACTATAAGAGAGGTGGAATTTTTAAAAGACAAGTAGTCCCCCAATTCAGAATATTTCATGGTGGTTTTAAAAATTCTTCGATTATAAATTTTGTCTAAATAGATGAAAAGCGTAATATGCTAATCCTTATAATGCTTTATTCTACTTTGAGTTATGAAATATCATCTATTCTGTATTTCATTATCACTGTAGAAAATTAATGCAAACTGTCTCCATTAACAACCATGGTTAACGTAGGCAGTTTATCCGATGATGGTTCTATTTGTGAAGCAAGGAAAAGGCTTAAATGTTTACGAGTCTAATCTGTGTGAATTATATACACGTATAATCAATCAGTACGGAAAAATTATCGTATTGTTGGTCGTAGAGTAGGAAGGTGCAGATCCCTTAAATATCATACCTGAGATGATCTCAATCATAATTGGGATGATGATTCAATTCATAACAGTATTTATTTATTTGTCTATAATTTAAAACAAATCACAGATAAAATGTTTCACTCACTGCCACTGCCTGTAAAATGTTACTGCGATAACTATAAGAATAGAGTAAACAGATTTTAATACAGTTGAAGACGCTTCTTTTAGAAACTCTCGAATATTTACATAAAAATATTTATGCATGGACTCATTTCGTATTAGAAATAGGCCCACCAGAAGCTAAAGACGCTGAACCAGACGGTAAAGACGCTGAACACTGGTAGTTTGGTCCGAGGTTCGAATCCCGCGAACCGGCTGGCTGCATGGGCGTTTTCGTGGTTTTCCCCATGTGTAATGTGTATACGAGCCAGTTCCCCTTAGAAAGTCCCCCATGAAGGCATCTCTCCCTTTAGGCAGATAGCCCTCGTGTGCTTTGCCATAATTAAATAATCCAATCCAATCCAAATCCGTATTAGAACTAATTCAGTTTAATGTTCTATGTGCCCAAAATATTTTATTAAATATTTTGTAATGCCAGTTTTAGATTGTTTAGCAACAAATGACTAAAAAATGTTTTGGACGATAAATTCTAATTCAAGACGTTTATCTTGCTGCAGATTAACGTAGCGCTGATGTTACGATAAAAGTTCGATAACGAATATTGAAATTTCATTTCAGATATTAATGATGAGTTTTAATTTGAAGTAATACTTTTATTGCACTAGCTGAATTTCTTAAATCATAAAATATTTTGTTAGCATTTGCTTTTAAACGTAAATAATAATAAGAATAAGGTAAAGGTTTTAGACCATGAAAGAATCAAGTTAAATCTTCGTCCTTCCCCATTCCTCCGCAAAATACTCCACAATAAAAGCAAAAA